GATTTCTACTCTTGCAGGGTTGGCGATTTCTTGTCTCAACTTAAACCCTTGAGATCTCCTAATTTATTCCGAGGATGGAGTCAGATATTATAGAGAAGTTGAGCAAATTTGAATTATCATACAAGGAAAGGTCAGAAATTGCTTTGTCGGAATCAGATGTGGAAGAGCCTAATAGGGCAAGTAGTGGGGGGGAAAAAGAAAAACTGAGGGGTCTAAAAACCACAATGGGCATAATATGGAGAACAAGTAGGTCGTTCTCAGTAAGAGTTATTGGACTAAACCTATTTCAATTCGTATTTCAAGCAGAAGAGGATAGAGTGAAGGTCCTCAAAGGAAAAGCTTGGTCTTTTGACGGGCTATATCTACTCCTTAAGGAATGGAAGAAAAACGAAATTTATTTTGAGGAGGAGCTTAAAGTGGAGCTATGCGTGCAGATACATAACTTGCCAATTCACTAGATATCTGCCGAAATAAGTTTGACGATGGAAAAACTATTTGGAAGGTGAGTGATGTTTTGATCCTTGGGGTTGGGGGTTTAAATGGGAGGGCTGTAAAAATCCTAGCTGAAATCAAGCTTTTAGAATCTATACCCAGAGAAACCACTATGAAGTTACGTAATAAAGAACACTAGATTGATTTCAGGTATGAAAATTTGCTAACCTTTTGTTTCTATTTTGGTAAAATAGGCCATAGTGATAGCCAGTGCGAAGTTAGGAAATTTAATATACAAAGGGATGTGCTTAGAATTGGGCAATTTGAGGAATGGCTAAGGGGCATCTCGAGGGGGATCGAGTGAATCTAAGGAAAGAAAATCATCTAGCCCAAATATTGTTAGGCTAAACTCTTCCTCTAGCAAATCTAAAAACCCTAACGTAGAGGTAAAATAAGTATAGTGAAGGAGAGGGTCAACAACTTGTTAGGGCTAACATGAATAGTGTTCATCTGGAAGAAGGGGGTAGTGATAAAAATAAAAATCAAGTGGGGGATCATGAGTGTTCTGAAGAAGCTAATTTGGAAAAATCAGGTGTAACGCCCCA